TTTTTTTAAAAAAAAAAGAAAAATTTAAAAAAACCAAAAAAAAAAAAAAAAAAAAAAATCAATTATGTCTTCTTTGACACGGATTAAAATCTATATTTTAATTTAAATCAAAATCAATAACAAATTATAGTTACATATATCATGGATCCACAAATTTTCAACTATACACAATTCATTAACTTTTATCAAAATTTGTTAAAAATTTGATTTCTTTCCTCACAAAACAGGGGCTATAGAATCCACAAATTTTCAACTATACACAATTCATCAACTTTTATCAAAGTTTGTTAAAAAATTGATTTCTTTTCTCACAAAACAGGGGCTAATAAATATGAGAAATAAATTGTTTTGTTTTAAAAATTCCAACAACATGATAAGTGAAATCATTTTTCAAATAATTCGTAATAGTTAGTGGTAAACAAAATTAAAGCATAAAAGTATCTCTTAGAAAATAACTTTGAAAGTACAAAAATCATTTGTAAAAAAATAAATGAATGAAGTCCAACAAATATTAGAAATTACCTTTTAAAGTATGGTTACCATTCAATTTTTTTATTTTTTTTTGGTAAGTTGAATAACAACTAGAAAATAGCGTTGAAACTATAGTGACCATTGAGCATTGAGATGTTTACCTGTAGCTTGATCACGAAAAAAAAAAAATAACTATCCTTATACCTAGAAAACGATGTATTTTTAATTAATTTCTACAATCTATTCTAATATAAGACTTTCAATCTTTATTCTTTTGGTAATAAGAAAGAGAAATAATTCATAATCTAACCAACATGGTACAAAGGTATTGTAGAGAGAGTAGTGAAAAAGTGAAACAAGATACAACACTACTCGACGGAAAAGTAAAAAAAAAATAAAAAATGAATTTAGTAAACAAAAAAATTCAAAATATTTCTGTGAAGTTAGCTGATCCTCCATGATCACACCTAGATTTGCCCATGCTTGGTTCTACAGAAAAACACGCTACATGCCAGCTATAATTCGTTAAAACAAGTCAAAATTCTCTTGTTGAGAACTTGATTTGTTTTTACAAGAGACTCAAAATTTATGGAAATGAAGTCACAAGAATTGTGCATGTATTCTTTACACAGCATTCAGTTTGTCTATAGAGTAAAGTGAAAATTCACATAGGATATATTTGATACATGGTAATCAACTAGATAGTATATAAGCTTTTGACTTAATTTTCTTCAATATAAGTCGACCCTACTCCAATAATCAAGAACGTATCAAGACAAGACATTTGAAAAATTTCCTCTAGCTATGATATAATGTCGTTTTTAAACTTGACAATGTAACTTCTGAATAATTATAATTAAGAAAAGAAGCCCTCTTTTACTTTGGATTGCCATTTCTCAATTAATCTATAGTAGGTAATTCTTATATCTCAATTTAGAACGAAGATAAAGGAAGCCCCCCCCCCCCCCCCCCCCCCCCCCCCCAAAAAAAAAAACAAGGAAAAAAAGAAAAGAAAAAAAGAAACCTCGTAACGGTCCATCCATTCTTGTGGTTTCAAAGTTCATGTGAATTGGATCAATAATATTTTAACCTATTTTTTCAATTTTTAAATCTTATTTAGTACTATTCAGTTTTTTTACATCGACCATCCCGCGATTATTAGCAATCAGCGATTCTAAAAGTTAGTCTTTGCAAGGGAAAATAAATTGGCATGATTTCAGTTTCAGTTTTTATCAACTATATACTGATTATTACTTGTAAATTGATTTTCATTTAGTTGTTTTTTAATAAGTTCCTTGAAAGGGTTGGATGGAAGAGTGATAGGGTAGCCTTCTTATTTATATAATTCATAGAGTCAATTTTTGATCTAAAATTTCAAATCTTTCCATCTATATAAAACATGAAAGAGATGAGCTTTTATACGACTCTACCACTCGATTAATTCTTTTCAAACCATTAATCTTTTTCAATTATATGCAATGTCTTCGTTATTTACTCTTGTAACATTAAATCAATTTTAGAATTTAGACTTATTACCTTGATTTTAATTGTTCATTTTCCAACAAATTTCCTAAAATGATCCATCAATGGAAGGGTGATAGTTCTTGTTTATACCACGCACTTCATGAGGTCTTGATTTGATTCGATTCTTACTATTTTAGCAAAACAAGTGAAACTTTGTACCTATAGCCACAAATCTTTTTCGGAAAATCCCATTTTTCTCAGAGCAATGTCTTCAATTGTCATTTACCCCAACAACATTTTGTTATATAAGAAGGGTAATTAATTATATTACCACTACAAATTTTATTAGGTGCACCACAATTTTCTTATTTACTAAAATATCCTAAAGTAAAATTACATAATTAGAATTTTAATATACTTTTTAATTAAATAAATTATTGTTACACTATAAATATAAAGCCTAATTTTTTTTCTCTCTTTTTCCTCAACAGCTCATTGTTCATAGTTTTTCCAACAACTTTTGTCTTCTTCCACGGAGACAAGATAATCTTTTCCCTCACGGTATATAGATAAACCGTAAATGAATTTGTGTATATAGATATTCCATTGTGCTACAAGTTCGAAATCATTATTTTGAATTTTCATCATTGCTGTGGTTTCTAAGATCCGTCTTTCATAATCAACCTGTTTAATTTTTATTTCTTTGAAGAGGGTATAAATCATTTGGCTCCTTCATCTATTAAAATATGGTGTTAGGTTGGAATTATAATACCATTATTCACAAAAGGGGATATTAAAATGAATTGAATCATCAATGGATGATCTTTTAACTGATCGAGAATCTGTTTAAGTTTTGGTGAAAAAAATATGAAAGAACTATTTAAAATGTATATAGTACGTATTATACCAAACTATAAAGCTAGATAAAAAATGTCTTCTTCTTCTTCTTCAAAAATTGTATAATCAAAGGAAATTGTAGGATAATTGTGTTTAAGAAATGTTGAATTTTTGGTTGATTTGTATTTGGGACCATGTTTTAGAAAGTATATTGATTCGTATTTGGGACCGTGTTTTAGAAAGTATCTATTTTCATGTGTTAGTAGCTTAAATTTGAGAAAAATCGATAATTTCCTATACAACTGATTCTATATAGAACTTTGAACAATTTTGGCGCAATTACCAATTTTTTGTTCTAATTCATATAAAGTCTTTATTGTCCTGTAGCTGTAGAATTAGTTAGTTCAATAAGTCTTTCTATTTATCAGAATAATTTCAATTTGTGGAAGCAATGTCTTTAAAAATTGCTCTTTCAAGAGCATTTCTAGAATTAATTCTTTTTAAACTACCTTGTAACTGAAGAATGTCATTTTGATATTTATTAATAGTCTGTTGACATGAAAAGATTTCATCTTCAAGGATCTGTAGTCTTTCTTCTAATAAATGCATTTTAAGATTCAAATTTCTAACAATTTTGATTATAGTTTCACAATTATCGCAAAGTTGTATTGATAAGGATGGAGATGATGCTTGAGAAGTAGCTATTTGCATGGTTATAATATGTCTAACTCTTTCAGATATATAAAAGTTAAATCCTATCATTTCTTTACAAAAATTTAAATATTTTTCAAATGTATAAAATCCTTTAAAAAAAGGGTTAGTTTAATTGGGGTTTGAGCAAGGGGGGCCCCGCCCCCGACAAGGGAATTCTTTTTGCCTTTTATAGTACCTCTGGCTAATAATTATATATATCAGGCTTTCTACCATTAACTACTATAAAGATACTATAATTTCCATTTTCCACCTGATTATGAAATTGTCTCAAATGATTAGCTTGGGCATTAATACTGTCTGATTTTTGTTGAGAGTCACTTGCCATCCAGAGATTATCGAGTAGAGAACACTCCATTTCTGCTAGTTTTTCTAAATTACTTCATTTGAATCGGAGATTAGAATTTTGTGGGGTCACTCTTAGACTGACATTCCCAAAGTTCATAATCTTTTGATCCATATGCACCATGAAGATAATGGGTTATAAAACTAATAACTTGCCTACTTAAATTATTTGTTAAAAATTTATTTTTTCCATCTATATGTTCTATATTAATTTTTAACTATTTAGTATTTCATATAATTTTATCCATCTTTTATGTCTAGCATAATTTAATATTCTTAAAAAGGCCTGTAATTTTTTAGTTTCTACTATTTTATCTGAAAATTGTAGAATTGTCTGTACTATATGTGGTTGCAACTAGATCTTCCCTTCTACAATAATTATTCTACAGTTTTTTGTTTATTTATTATCATTTTGTTTTTACTTTTAGATAAACCATTTTATATGAACTTATTCAAAGTTATCTTCAAATGTTTCATATATTCTTTATGATTTTTATTATGTACTAAAATATCATATTTATATACACAAACAAAGATAAGAGAATTAAATATGCTATCCATCTTTGTTTGAAAAATAGAAGGTGCATTTTCTAACTCAAAAGGCATGATTAATCATTCAAAATGTCCTAATAGAGTAGTAAAAGTTGTCCTTATTCTTTTACTATTTTTATTTGCCAAAATCTAGATTTATAATCAAATTTAGAAAATATCTTGCTATTTTGTATTTTATTCATTTATCTTTATCTGATATCTTATATCCATCTTTTATGGTATTATTATTTAATGTTTTGTAGTTTATAACCATTCTTGTTTTTCCTCTTTTAATTTTACTATGATTTCTAACCATAAAAGTTGTC